AGTGGTGAAGCTTGTTACAAACTTAAACCTTGGGCAAAATGAATGAATTGCAACTATAAAAATTATCTCAAAAATTAATTTTCATTCAGTAAAATAGAAGGCATCAAAAGATGTGAATTCAATAACTTTCTGTTCAAGTTTTGCTTTGACTTTATTAAATATTCAATATAAGATAAAATATTAATTTGTTAAAAGTTTTCTAAATATCTCCTGTAAAAAATGGAATGTTTGCTGAAGGCAATTTTAGAATCCATTGATAAAATTTGCAATCAAGGACCTCAAAAACGCTATAAAACGTGTTTAATATAATTGAAGGAAATGTATAAAAATATCTGCCGTATTAGATCCACTATTTTCAATTTTACTATTCCTAGATCAAATTCGCAATCAATTACCATAAGAACCTCGTAGTAAACTTATTTTTATCAAAATTGAATAAAATTTTTGAAAATGTTTTTCATTCTTTGTATTCTCCATTTTGATAGGAAATTCGAAATTAGCGCCCCCTACAATCCAAAGGTACATTCCTTTACTATATTTTCTTGTCTTCCTATTCTCGCCAGGCTTGTGGCCTTTCTAATCTCCGCGAAAATAACATAAAAAATAATTATTCAAAATAAGTGTGACCCCATCTGTAATTTGCAATTGTTTACAAAATTGAGTTATTCTAGATCTTATATTAAAAGATCTGTAGCTCGCAACATTTTGAACGCATTTTAACAGAATTACTCTCGAAACTCAATGCGCGCGTTTCTGTCCGATTCGGTCCGCTGTGCGGCGCTGCTCCAGCAGATTTTAACCAAATGCAGTTTCGTTCTTGAATGAGAAGGTTCTAAAAGAGAGCTGTATTTGTTTGGTTTGTGAAAGATAGTGTTTGCTCTTTGCGATGATTTTTGTTACCACGTCGAACACAAAGAATGAAGCAGTTCCCGGTACTTTCACTGGGAAAATCCCTCATAAGTGGTGAGACGGTGGATCTGAATGCGTTTGAATCACTAACGGCTAAAAATACGACAATGACTGTGCGGCAGGTGGAAGAAATGACTGCTGAATTGCCAGGTGTCGGCGTCAGAAGTGTTGGAAAACTGCGTAGTGAATTAAGTAAGAGTCACTGCAAAGGTAACGCCTCCACGTAAGAAGAGAAGATGAGCAAAATCGGTGCAGGGCAAGTGCGAGGAATTTGTTAAATCTGCCATTCGCATTCGTGTGCACAATTTTTTCGTAGAAATAAACTTCCAACGTTATATAAAATTCTTGAAGTGTTTAACGAAGATTCGGGACTGACAAATTTTAAAAGAACGTCATATATGTTCTATTGATCACGTTTACCAAAAAAGGGGGAACATAACTCTATAACGGAGAGAGACGACATAGTACTGTGGCGAACACTTTATTAAAGGGAAATGATAAAAAAATACAAAGAAAGAAAAGGATATATTTATTATCTTGATGAAACCTGGATGAAAGGCCATTGATGAAACCCTGATGAAATACACACTTCAAATAAAGAATGGCATGACAGTTCTGTTAAAAGTAAAAGGAAAGCGTGCCTGGTAGGATTGACCACTAGATAAAAAGCCCCCGTCAGGAAAAGCAAAAGATTAATAACACACATAGGGAGTGAAGGAGTATTGACGAAGATGGTCTTCTTCTTTTCGAATCGAAGAAATCTGGCAGGCAGACGTTGCATATGACACTTTAAACGGAAGAAATAATTCTTAATACGGGTGTCAGTTCTTCCAGTGCTTTGGACAAGATTCTTCAAACAGTGCTTTGGCAAAATTTCACCGTTACCTTGCGAGAGTACATCATAAATGTAAGTACTGTGATATTTAACCATCTGCATGTTTTGGCTGGTAGAGAAGTACTAGTGAAAATAATTTGTTATGACAGTTCTGGCTGCGACACGGGCCGGTATGGTGGCGCAGCCAATCACGAACTACAGGGCGGAGGGATACACTCAAAGTTTATTTACATGCGGAGTGAAGTTACAGCGAACAGACCTTAGGGCTTTTGAAAAAGTAAAAAAAAGAACAAAAACAAATAAACAACTCAGTTTTTTTTCCTTTATTATAGCTGCACTTAACAGTAGAAAAGTGCACCTCTTTCGACGCACGTAATGTTATTAGTGTGTAAACTGTAAACTAAAGTTGGTGAAGATCAAGTATGTCCCTATATATATCAAATGTAAGATTAGAACGTTGGATCAATGTAATTTTACGTGTTATTTAATGACTTTCCCTAAAGGTCTTAGGGATGTAAGACCAAAAGATCAAGAATAAACATTAATATTTTTTAACCAGCTCTTAATAAACGTGAATCTAGAAACAAATCCGTATACTTCACCAGCAGCTATTCGTAGTTTTACTTTGCCTCTACCAGGATCGCTAGCTGTAAGTGCGCACATCTCTAACCAGCAAAAACCCGGGCTAGATATCTAGGTGGTGTTGGCTGAGCTGTGCATCTGTTTGATACGTATACTGCGTTATGACTTAATTTTTAGTATGGCAGAAATACAATATTTCAGTTGTACGTGACTCTTTCCAATAATGCGAGAAACTACTCATATTTGCTGTTGTAGCACCTCTAGTTATTTTATCAATTAAGAGACAACATAATAAAATAATTAGAATGTATTCAGTGCTTTACTGAATAATAAATATATTTTATTACATCAAATACATCAAAAGAGTTAATACATATTGTATCAACAATTATATCACAAAGTTCAAGAAATTAAAGCACATGAACTCCTGTTAGTTTGCTTTGGGTATGCTGATTAGTGTTCTTATTTATATATTACATATATATTTATTTTCAAAAAACAGAAAATTATTTGAGACGAGCATCGTATGCCAAAACATAATAATTTCCCTTAGTAAGATATTGAAATTATTTTAATTACTGAGCTTGAAAAATAAATGAATACATTATTTTTATAATAGATTATGTGTTATCGTTGAAAATAGTTGTGAAGAACGTTCATCTGGGGTATAGGGTTGGTGAATGTAAGGTTTCACCTTTGACAAGTGAGCCTTTTACGCCGCTACTGGCTGGTAATATAGAAATGTAGTATTGAAACGTAATGTTACTGACATGTAATGATAATAATAAATATAAAAATGAAAACAATATGAAAGTTATCTTAATGAATTCTGTTCAAAATTACTTTCAGGACATCGCTCAAAAATAAACAATTGAAGGATTAAAGGTTTGTTTTCTTCTTCATTTACTGTATTTATTAACTGAATAAATAAGTGTAATACGTCAACTTTGATGTATACGGCCAGAAAATCACACTATTGGTGAAAGGAGTATACCTAATGCAAGATTTTGTAGGTTCATATGGGTTGCATAATATTACATCGATACATTTGTTTCGAATAAGATGTGTAGCTGACGTTCAAATTGTATTGCTTTTTTGACCTTCAAGAGTGGCACGAAGACATCTTGATGCAATGTTTTGTTAATTGTATTTAAATTTTGATTTCACATCTTCAACCTGAAGTTAGAAATAGCACAAAATTACTATAATTCTCTTGTGAATGAATTATCGAAGCACAAAGTTAAAAAAAATAACGTGCGGTCATTTTGTTAAAATATCTCGCTATGACACCGAAACTGAGATGCTCAACAAATGTGCGTATTTATGTCTTATTAAAGGAATACAATTAATCATTTCAATGCGAGAATTTTATTTCTTAAATTATAAAATAACAAATATTAAAGATACCTAAGCACACGCAAAATTTTAGTAAATGAAAGCATGAACGTTTCGTTGATATCCGATAAAACGTGGAAATAGCCATCAATTTATCAGTAACGTTCAATGAATCAGGCACATTTAATTAACTACAGTGTCGACGCAGCTACGAGCACAAAGAGATATCAATTAATAAACTAGTATCTATGCATTTTTTCACAGAGGCGGATCCAGGGAGTGTACGTCACTCCGAAATGCCATTTTCGTGAATTTTTCTCAATCTATTCGGATATTTTATCACATATTGATCGCATCACATATGAAGTGGTGTTCCAATTAAACATACCCTTTTTCTATATTTCAAGCTAGCCAATTTTTAGATTTGCTACTGCGATCCGAGATCCGATTGGAAATCCCCTCTCCCGCCGATATTCTTTCTGGATTTGCCACTGTTTCTTGAAACTACAAACATGGCAAATGGAAAATTATGAAGTCGCCCATTAGCAACTACTCCCGTAGAATTTCTGTTTATCACCTACAATTATTATTGGTTACATCTTCAATTCAGAATCTGAATGTTTATTCTTTAAAATTAAATGTAACATTCTAATATTCATAACCCGTCGGCATTGCCCAGACTCTTACCGAACTCAAGATAAATTTTTCAATTTAACCATTTCATCTAAACCTGTAACAACTTACATTTCTTTATTAGGTTGGTCCCCGACACCCTTCATTACCTTTTAGAGGCGCGGAGCACGAAATGGCGCTTTTATTAATCCGCATAAAATAGACTTAGGGCCAATTTGCGCGATGTTTCAATCGGTAGGCGTCAGACTACGAGAAACGCGAGCATCTTTGAGTAAAATGAGAACCGAGAACGGAATGTCATGTGGCTCCTCGAGAATAAGCAACTCCTCTGCATTTCAAGCGCGTCTTCGACAGAATATTGTTGAACCTTCATTCTTGACTCGTACTGGATGTACACTGGATTAAGTTATGGTTAAAAATGTAAACCTAAAAACATATATCAACACATTGCAAAAGTAGTAAAAGTAGTATGTTCTCGTAGCAACAGGGAATTTTTGAAACCTCCGGAGTACAATAGCTTCTTGTCCTATAAAAAAACCTCAATTCCTTCGCATATGTGGATGATTATACTATAGTGGGTTAGGTTTGAAAACAATAAATTAACCGACTGACTCTTGAAGAACCATAATTGCACCCGAAATATCAGCCACAATAAGTCGGACACAAGAGAGCAAAGGAGACGAATGTTACAAATATTGTTCTGGTCTCAGGATATTCTTGAACGTGTCGCGATTCTCGCGGCCTGCCCAGAGATTGCCGATGCCGGCGCGTCCCGCTGTGCGCGCGCGACGCCACTGCGTGCGTGTCGGTAGTCCACCTCCTCCACGGTGGGGCCCTTAGCGCCCGGCGCGCCGCCCTGGCCCGCCGCGCCCTGGTGCAGCTTGGTCATGATGGGCGCGCAGTCGCGCTGCAGGTCCTTCAGCTTCGCCTCGTACTCGTCCTTCTCGGCCAAGGTGTTGCCGTCCAGCCACGAGAGGACGGCGGCGCAGCGCTCCTGCACCGTCTTCTTGTCGGCGTCCGTCAGCTTGCCCGCCGGCGCGTCTTCCGTGGCCTGCCAACGCCCAAAATGCGATCAAGCTTTCAGAAGAAATACACTATGTGATCAAAAGTATCCGGACGAGTACAAAATGGTATTGTGGTGTGGTCGTGTTTTTCATGGAGGGGGCATGTACTTGTTGTTTTGTGTGGCACTATCACGGCACAGGCCTACGTTGATGTTTCAAACACCACCTTGCTCGTGTTGAAAAGCAATTCTGGGATGGCGATTGCATCTTTCAACACCATCGAGCACCTGTTCATACTGCACGGCGTGTGGCGGAGTGGTTACACGACAATAACATCCCTGTAATGGACTGGCCTGCACAGAGTCCTGATTTGAATCGTATCGAACACCTTTGGGATGTTTTGGAACGCCGACGTCGTGCCAGGCCTTTATCGATACCTCTCCTCAGTGCATCACTCCGTGAAGAATGGGCTACCACTCACCAAGAAACCTTCCAGCACGTCTTTGAAAGGATGCCTGAGAGTGGAAGCTGTCATCAAGACTAAAAGGGTGGACCAACACCCTCTTGAATTTCAGCATTACTGATGGAGGGCGCCACGCACTGGTAAGTCATTTTCAGCCACGTGTCCGGATACTTTTGACCACACAGTGTATTTTGCATATGGACATTGTGAACTCGTTACAATGATAACAATGATAAAGGAGTCGTAAAGGGAAAAAAAACTATTGGTGTAATGTATTTGATCTACTTACTTGCAGGTATGCCAACCTGGATGGTCGAGGTAGCTAGAGCCTGTACCGACTCAGCGCCTTGGTCTGAAGGGTCGCGGTTTGACACCCACCTTGGGCATAGTTGTTTGTCCCTTGTTTTTCATGTGTGTGTGTGTGTGTGTTGTCGCGGAAGGCCTTGTGAGGCTTCTGACCACAGACCGAGGAGCCCGCAAGTGTGTCTAGCGTAAAAGGTTAATATGTGTGAGGGACGTACTGGGTACCCCGCGCGAACAATCGAAATCGAAGCTGGAAAAAGCCTCGGGAAGAAAGAAAAAATAAAATAATTACCGGTATTCATCTAAGGTTTGAGAATTGAATGTTATACACTAATTTGATAAGTATTGGTTAAAATCACTACAAACTCTACAAACTTCACTGCTGCTGATCTCGAACCGGTAATCATATATTAGTTAGTATAGTAGGCTAGATAAATAAAAATTGTCAATGGAAAAATATCTTTTCACAACACTGTTCTAAAGTCTATCTTCCCTAAAATAATTAGATAATTACGTAACTTCCTTATCAAATTAAATAAATAATTCTTACATAGGGACCAGATATTTTTTGAGAAATATTAACATTTAATTTTGCTAAGCTTATTTTAGGAAAACATTTGATAGGTTAAAAATAATTCAAACAGGTTTAGTAATTTTTAATAAGGAATCACGAAGCCTAAAAAAAATTAACTCACTTGTCGCTGAAAGTTTAAGTTCGAATAGCGGTAACTAATGCAACTGGAGTTGGGGAAAATCTTTCATCTTCTCGGATTCAAATCCGTCTTATCGAAGGGTCCCGACTACTTGGAATTATTCATAAATCTACAGTGATATTAATAAAAATAATACTTCGTTCGCGACGACTATGCAGTTAAGAAACCTGCTAAATCGCGAAAATTATGAAAAGTCGAATTTCGTGAAAGGTTTCACTGCAATTGAATAAGATAAACTATTTATGTTTTGAAAAGTAAAAATACTAGTAACTTAAGAAAAATTATAGTAGGTATTGACTGGGAAATTAAATATATTTAAAAAACAGGATTTATAAGACTTTTTTACACAAAAAAGGTATTGTAAAACACTGTTTTGGCGTTTTCGAATTTGGAATCTTTTTCACGATTTAAGACGCTCGAGAATTTGAATCCTAAATATTTTAATCAGAATAAAATGACTAATTGCGGTGACTATCTCTTCCAATCCCAAACAGAAATCATCACATCATAGTTAGCTAGGAAAGGGAAGTATTAGTTCTCTGTATGTAATTGAAAAGGTACCGTTAGGGACACGGCAAAATAGCTCTCATTTTCTAGGATGGAATAGTAGTTATTTCATCAGAAGTACTATCAAATCCATAGCTTATTTTCAACGCATTTTCTGAAATAGTTTCCAACACATAGGAGTGAATGTTTCTTGTTATCAACTTTTACCAACAACGCTCGTTGCTACTAATTCATCTACTCGTATGTATGAACTTCATAATTCAACTACAAGTAAAAGGTAGTAAAAGGAAGAGATAGAGTCTCAAGAAATATTCCGCATATTCTACTTTCCCAATTAGTCACATTACATTTTTTACGATAAATAAATAAATATAATACGATAAATAAATAAATATAAATATATATTAGAAAGCAACGAAGTACTAAAAAAATCGGCCGCAGATTGTACTTCCCCAATTAGCCACATTCCGTTTTTCGATAAATAAATAAGTAAATAAAAATAAAAATAGGTGCATTTGCAGAGGGAGGGAGGGAGGAAGGAAGGAAGGAAGGCAGCGCACCTGCTTGACGCTGAAGGTGTAGCTCTCGAGCTGGTTGCGCGCGGCGACGCGCTCGCGCTGCTTCTCGTCCTCGGCGCGGTAGCGCTCGGCCTCCGACAGCATGCGGTCGATCTCGTCCTTGGAGAGGCGGCCCTTATCGTTCTGGATGGTGATGCGCTCCGACTTGCCCGTGCTGCTGTCCTTGGCGGACACGTTGAGGATGCCGTTCGCGTCCAGGTCGAACGTCACCTCGATCTTGGGCACGCCGCGCGGCGCGGGCGGGATGCCCGTCAGGTTGAAGGTGCCCAGCAGGTTGTTATCCCGCGTCATGGCGCGCTCGCCCTCGAACACCTGCGCACACGCCAGTCGTCGTCGGAAGGTCTTTCAAACTTCAGTTTAATAAAGACCTCGATTACAGAGTCGATTATTTATCGTTACAATTCAATAAAAACGTTTCAACCTCAATTTAATAAATTCCTCAATTACAGAGTCGTATTTGGAACGATGGAAATCTCTACAACGGTTTACTTAAAAAGAGAAATTTTCTCTTCCAGGAATGGAATCACAGCAAGCAGGGGATTTCACAATATTACTCTTTTCGAAAAAAATGTCGACATCGTCCAAAGGGCGAATTTTAATTTTATGGGATAAATAACGCAAGTCAAGTGATTATATCATAATTGTTCGAAACAAGATAATTCAATTTCCTATTGCTTTCAATTTGGCAACGATCTCCGAACGTTTTCCTTCTCGGTTTTTAAAACTCTAAAAGTCTTGTTTGGGCCACAAGAATCCATTCATTTACATAAGCAGAGTTCGAAAAACTAAGTCAGAATCATCGCAAGACCATGTTCATCATTCCTTTCTTCACATTGATATATAGACAATAGTTGAGAAAATAGTACATACCTGATGTATCCTTATGACGACTATACCGAGATAATTAGTGTTATGTAGCTTTTTTAGTATTCCTCCGGGTAGTGTTGAGAGGAAAGAATTAAAATCAGCTCAAAAATACGATCTCTAATTTCCGTTTGTAAATTGTGTTCTTGGAATCATTGAGATATGTTATTTTCGAAGGGAAGTCCCAGTAAAATTTTCAAAATGTTCTAAAAAATGATCACTATTTTTTCTTTAACGTGTTTTCTCGAATAGAGGAAAGTGTATTTATAAATATGGGATAGTTCCGATTTTTCGATTTCCGAAACCTCAGAAATTTTGAAAAATGCAAATGTTCAAATATTTTTAGGATCTCTAATATTAAAGCTAGAGGTTTCTTTCTACTTGAAATGTAGTTCTTTACGTATAACGTAGGTCTTTAATTGATAACACTTTTTAAAAATGTGAGTAGTTATTGAGAACCAACTGTGAAAGGAGAAGATGGTATGCCGCACATTCCCACTACTTTACAAGTATGCAACCTCAGTTGCGACATATACTACCTTATATCGTGGTCTCAATACTTCGTTTAAATTCCTTCACAAACGAAATTTATCCAGAATTTGTATTGGTACCAACACATTCTTGAATCACATACTTAGTTATAAACGTCTCAGCAGCCCTCACTTTATAATCAAAGTTAAAATATCTAATACTACTGTTATGTAGCACTATGATCTTGGGTGTAAGTTTAGTGTTTAATCTAATTACCTGCAATTTTTGGAACAAAGAAAAATGTCATCAATCCATGCTATTTCGTTGTCTAAATATTTTGTTTAGCTTTAAAGGTTTTATATCACACTATTCTGTTTTATTATAAGGCTTATTAAGTTAACATAAAAATGTAATCAATGTGTTTATAGTATGTGGGAATGCACGTGGTAACAATCGTGAAAGTTGAATTAGAAATTAATACTGAACTTGAATAACATCGCAATTCTGAAAAAAGAGAGGGAAATAAGGCAATGTATTGAGGCGTAACAAGTACATTCTAGTTTTTTCTGAACGAACAGACTTGACGAGCTGTGCAACAGTATCGGTTTGTACCAAGTTCTGGAATATATTTCAGTCACGAATCCCAGCAGTAGTTGATTCATCCAAGAAAGGAAAACGTTCTTGTTACAGCACTACGACAGTGCTGACTCACTACAAGTAGTTTTTAGAGACACGATCTAGGTTGACAAGAAGAGATGTATATGTCAAGTAAGTTGGTTCTCCAATCCTAGTTATTTATTAGCAGTCGAATTTGCTACAGTCTTTACAACAGTTACTTGTTGAATTCTTTCAAATATACTTCGTAAGATCGTTTGTATATTGCGCTCCAAAAGAAACATTTTTGAATGATAAAATTATTGGGCATTATCGGGAATTATTATTTTCGAATGTTCAGTAAAAACATATGTCTACGAAAATATAACACGGTATTCGAAACAACTCGGTACTAGGACGAATGCCAAAACCGCGTTCTTTTAGCATCTGGAACATAAAATAGTCCGCGGCGGCGCGCGTGCATACGCGATTCCTGGCGCGCTCGTAAATTCATCTCGTTTCCTCCGTGCTTGGTGGAGGGGCAAGGGGGAAGGGGGAGGAGGCGCGCACCTGATGGTGACGGCCGGCTGGTTGTCGGAGTAGTGGTGTGAAGGTCTGCGTCTGCTTGCACGGGATGCGCGAGTTGCGCTCCACGATCTTGGTCATGACGCCGCCGGCCGTCTCGATGCCCAGCGACAGCGGCGCCACGTCCACTAGCAAGCCACGTCCTGGATCTGCGACTGGTGTCGCCGCTCAAGATGGCGCCTGCACGCGGCGCCGTACGCCCCAACCGCCTTCGTCCGGGTTGATGGACAGGTTGAGCGCCTTCCCGCAGAAGAAGTCCTGGCGGCGGCACAAAGGCACATGATAGGACAGACACAAGTCAGAAATGTATGGTTCAGGAGACTCAAATTAATTTGCAATAGACATAACACCAATAATAATAATACAACCAATTTCCATTAGAATTAATTAATCGGGGAGTTACAATCATCTCAGATAGTTAAAATACCTATTTGAGTCACAAAATAGTAATATCAAAAATCAATTGATAGAAATTTAGCATTATTAGAAAAGGCTAATCTCATTATGGTTTAAATTGTTGAACGTGTCGAAATACGTTGGAACTAAAATGAAATTACTGTCTTAATTATGAAGAATAGTTTGTAGACCGCAAAGTATCTTAAAAAAGTTCAATAAGTTAGCTTCGCCGCCGATTGTGTATATCTCGTGTTGAAGATTGTTGATAGTACATCTGCTCAATATACAAGATATATTAGAATAAATGTTACAAAATTCTATGGAATCAATTATTATAACTTTTCTCAACAAGCTTTCGGCGGGAAATTTTAAACAAAGAATATGTGACATTTGCCCCTGATTTGTAGGCAACTCATTATGCACGAGTGTGTTCGGCGGGTCACGTTGGGATGCATAGATTTGGCGTACCCCTCGAACAGCAATGCACGATGGGTTGCCTACCAATCAGGGGCAAATGTTACATTCCTATCTCCACTCACATAAATTATCGAGAAGGAGAAGGGGGAAAGAATTGAGGAAAGGATTTTAGGCTCAAAGGGGATACGTGGTGAAGGAAACATGCTGTGGTATGAATGCACACCAAACCACAACACACCACATTCTTGTCTCACGCGGGATTCGAACCCACAGTCCGAATGTAACGCGCACTTGGTCGAAAATTATTCAAGGTCCTTCGCCACTCAGGATTACCAGGAATGGAACGAAGGGGGTTGAAAGGTGCTATATGGTGGTCGGGATAACACACAAGCAACTGTTGTCCGAGGTGGGATTCGAAACCATGACATTTTGAACCAATACTGTTGCATCCGCCTTAGCGATCTGGACTACGCAGGTAAAAAATATAGATTAATTACATAAATTAAAAACTAATTAAATGTTTTATGTTGCATCATTGGTTTTGAAATGTCAGAAAGTATTTTGACGCAAACACGAAATCGAATTGTTGATGTTAACGACATTTTTGACAGCGTTTTTAACGCTAAACTTGTGAAATATTTTAATTACAATTTATTTTCATTGCATTTATAACTTGAGAATGTTGTTTGGTAATTTTTCAATTTGGTCAATGGTAATTTTTCTCGTTTTCATAATGCAATATTTTCGTAAACAAGTAATTTTACCACGTAAATATCAGTAATAGTTTAGTTGCTCCTGGATGCAAGAGTCTCATCTGAATCAAGGTTTCAACGATCCAAAGTGTGAATGCTGAGAGGTTTGCTTCTCGCTAATAAAGGTAAGTGCGACGTCGTTTAGTGTAAATCGCCTCGGCACATGCTTATCGTTACTGAAGAGCGCTGTTGGCCGGCGAGGGCGCACCTGCAGCATCTTCTGTATCTTGGGGATGCGCGTGGAGCCGCCGACGAGCACGACGTCGTGCACGCGGCCCTTGTCGAGCTTGGCGTCGGCGAGCGCGCGCTCCACGGGCGCCAGCGTGGAGCGGAACAGGTCCATGCACAGCTCCTCGAAGCGCGCGCGCGTGATCTTGGAGTAGAAGTCGACGCCCTCGTGCAGCGCGTCGATCTCCAGGCTGGCCTCCGTGCTGGAGGAGAGCGTGCGCTTGGCGCGCTCGCACGCCGTGCGCAGGCGGCGCAGCGCGCGCGTGTTGCCGCGCATGTCCTTCTTGTACTTGCGCTGGAACTCGTCCGCGAAGAACGTCACCAGGCGGTTGTCGAAGTCCTCGCCGCCCAGATGCGTGTCGCCGGCCGTCGACTTCACCTGCGGACCACGCGCGGACACGAGTCAAGGGGCAGAATTAGCACACAAGCACTTTCTCACGGCACCGCGAATTAGTGCAACACATTTTTGTATTAGTTTAAAATTATTTGTCATAAAGCACGCCAGGAAAGTTTCTCCTTGCTAGTGATAGTGCCTGTAAATCAAGTAATATTGGTATTACGAGCTGCAGCCTGTAAAAAAATGAAATATAAATTTCAATCTCATCATAATCATAATACACCAAACGATATGAATATAAATAAACTAGACTCACTGAAAGAGCTGCTTGCACGGTCTAATTTGAAGGCCGCCATGTGGATGTGATAGGGGCAAAGTACTTGTTTAGAATAACAATATTTTATTTTCGGTGCATGTATTATTTAACTTATATACTAATATTGTTAAAAGATGTCCGGCATATATTAAGGGCACAAATAAAATCCTTGTTTCAAGTTCAAATTCAGTGTACAAGATCGTACAGTTTGATTCTTAAGAACGAAAAATGATGAGGAGAATCTGTGTTGTTCTTTAACAGTAATTAATTGTACATGTTAAAACCTTTCTTGTGAAAAATATTAATTGTTAAAGAAAAATGGCAGATGACGTAGAAAAATCTAAACATTATCCATTTACAGCAATGTTTTTCTATTATATAATTTTATTTCTGTTGCATTTCCCCCAAGAACAAAGATAATGATGAACACGAGCGCAATTGCAGAGTTAGACCTGAAATCCGCGCTCACATCATCCACTGCAACGGCGACCACTTCCTCTTTCAATTTATTCTTTGTCCTGAACTATCCGTCCACAGAATTGTACGGTCTCGTAATACATGCTGGAAGTTGTCCCCTTCACATGTTTTTAGTCATATGGTTGCTACCAACATAAATGCAATTTTTAATAGGAGACTCTGATTCGACTTTGTGCGGTGAGATTTTTTCTAGCGCACTGAATTCGCTTGCCTGAGCATTTCTTAGTCACACAGCTACAGAAATTGAGACGATTGTAAAGGAAAGCTACAACTATTTTTGCCCTGACCGAAAATCGAACCCGAGATCACAACCGATGAACCGCCTTAGGGCGTTATTTTAGTGTAATATTTAATTAACAAAGATATGATTTTATTTTTGTGAGTACTTTGAACATGTGCGTTAAATATTTCAGTATCATTAAGGGGACAACAGTTTGATCGTTGTTAGGTCAGACAACGACAAAATAATAATAATAATAATAATAATAATAATAATAATAATAATAATAATAATTTCGGTGTCAGGTGACCCCAAAACGTGTGTTTCCGTTGAAATCTCGAAATCGATTTTCCACAGCATTGTATATAACTTTACCTATACTACGTGTATTTCTCCATGTATATGGACATATACGGGAAAGTAAAAATCACAGTAAGTGAACGACAGGGAAAGGGAGAGGTAAGCGCATGAAGATATGTAATTAAGTGCAACCAGCAATAATGCTAAGCACTAAACGCAACCGTTCCCTTGCACGTGGTTTGAAATACTTTTTTCAACCCCACTTTCCGAGCTTTCGCCCATTTTAGAAGCACTCTAAATTTGCATTTGTTCTTTTGGGAAGCCTAAGTTCTCGAATTAGTGACACAATAAAGTGTTGAACTTCCAACAACGCCAAATTAGTTTCGCTACGGGGCTCTTCGTATAAGTGATTTCTTTGTTTTAAAATAACAGGAAAGTCATGTGCTTTGTCAGATCTGTTGAATAATACACACAAAATATTTAAAACGTAAGAAGAGAAGAGACTACGTTGTTGATGCAGCGTTTAGTAACTGAGGAACACGCTCGTTAAGTTTCTTTCAAATGAATGGCAAAAATAAACGATTATTCCATCACCATCGCCATTAATTTAGATTGAGAAACTTTTGTCGTCTTTGAACTTTTGTCGTGTTTGAAGGGCGTGTATGTGCTGAAAATACCCACTTTGGGGAAATAATCTGAAATCCACTCATTAAAGGCTTTACAGTTGACACTTCGCAACAAATTACTTTCTCAAAAAATAAGAATCGTAGAAAGCGAAATTTCACGATTTTTCGTCACTCTTGGGTAGTCAGTTACCTCAATAAATATGAGGAGAGAGTACACATTTTTTAAGGTACGAATTTAGATTCTACAGTATGCGCATGAACATTTATAATGGGGGTTGTCAGCCGCAGAGAAGAACTGGGCGATGGAGCTTAATGTGGACCTCACTGAGAAATGAGAAAGTCGCCGCAAGAGGTCAAAATCAAATCTGCCAAGCCGTCGAGAACAAGATGACAGTCCGATCACGTTTATAGACCGGTTCGAAGCAGCCCTCACCTCGAAGAGCGATCCCTCGTCGATGGAGAGGATGGAGACGTCGAAGGTGCCGCCCCCGAGGTCGAAGATGAGCACGTTCTTCTCGCCCTTGAGGTTCTTGTCGAGGCCGTAGGCCAGCGCGGCGGCCGTCGGCTCGTTGATGATGCGCAGCACGTTGAGGCCCGCGATGGCGCCGGCGTCCTTGGTGGCCTGGCGCTGCGAGTCGTTGAAGTAGGCCGGCACCGTGATCACCGCGTCCGTCACCTTCCCGCCCAGGTACGTCTCGGCGATCTCGCGCATCTTGGTCAGCACCATGGAGCTCACCTCCTCCGGGGCGAAGCGCTTCACCTCGCTCTTGTACTCCACCTGCGGTTGCAGCGGGTTAGTGAATTCGCCTTATTTTACGTGGCGAGACTCAGGCCTGCTTTTCCGTCTGACCACGCAAATTTCGGTTCGCTCCTTTCACCCACGAGCGGAGAAAGGAGGTATTTCTTGGGCGACGTGAATGCGATTTGAATTTAGCTCGGAGGCTTAATTTAGGCTTGAGGATCTTTTACATGCAAGTAAATCTACTAACATGGGACAGCCGGCTTTACTTCCCCCAAAGGAATGCGTATGAAGGATTTTTTCGCCCTTAAAAATCCACGGCTTCGATCGGGTTTAAACCCGCCAACTTCGGTATAACGGTCCGATACACTAACCGTTAATACACTACCATCGCGCGTTTAGTGAGCTCCACGAGAAATCAGCTTACTTCAAGAGTAAAAGTTCAATCAACTTACTTCAAGAGTAATGATTTTAATAGTAAAAAAGGGGAAAATTTTAAACAATTGTCTCTTCATAAAGAATGCAACACGAGTTGGACATCAAAAATTCAGAAAAAATCACGTGAACAGGAGAGAAAATTGTATTTTACTATAGTCTCCTGCTCATTGCCTATTGATTTATCATGTAAGATAATTGCAATAGTAGGGAGGAATCAAAATAAAAATCAACATTCACCTGGATCTTGGGCTTGCCGCCATCGTTGACGACAGTAAACGGCCAGTGCTTCATGTCGTCCTGAATCTTTGCATCGTCGAAGCGCCTTCCTATCAAGCGTTTCGCGTCGAAAACGGTGTTCTTTGGGTTCATCGCCACCTGCAACAAAACAACGACCAAATAGAAGCCGCATTTCGACGGTACCTCCTTCCATCATTTAACAAAGGAAAAATGTGTGCGAATTAATTCTTAATACGTAATTTTTGGGGGAATTTGAATCCACTGTCCAATACTGGCCATGAATGGGTGTGAGTATCTAGTTATTAACAAGCGGTATTATGCAATTACAAAGAATTTTTCGCATTTTTGCTTTTAGACTTACTCGATGATATATCTGTTTATTTTGAGTTGTGTATCACCGACAAACTATCAGTTAACTAAAATAATTAAATTTTTTAGTTGAAATATTTTAATGAAACATACTAAACATTTATTGTCTAACAGTACTCAGCTGTTACAATTATTTTTTGCAGAATATTCAAGAACTACTCTAAATATTTGATTAGTCCATTTGTTACCAAATGCCATAGTTTTTGGGTTTACTCATGAGGGAAATATAATTTTTTCTTTAATATTTCTGTTGGTTGGGTATTTATAAAACAAATAAGAGTTAATGTACGTTTCCTGAAATTGTATTTAATTTTAAATAACAACGTAAAGCAGGCTTCCGCGGTCGGAGTCTGTCTCTACTTGGAAGGCAGCAATTTCTACAGGGAAATGTATCGCCGTGAGGAAGGTGGCAGTATGCCGGCTGAAACCATTGGCATCTACGCCTAGAATCTAGCGTTCCCGGTTAGCCATATAGTCACCAATGTATATGAGCTATTTATTTTACATGCATTAATAAGAAAGTTTGGTTAATGACGACAATTATATTTGTATAATACACAATTATACACACTCTATAATAAAACGATGGAATTTTGAATCTATGGTAAATGTGTTTAGAATCAACTATAGACTATTTAAACAATGGACGTATGTCGGATGTTTGATAGTGTAAGTGTAATCGTGAGCAGTTTTCAAGATGTTAAAAATGTTATCGGGTATGCGGTTGTAATTTTGAGGATTTCAATAGATTTGAACTACTTCGAAATATTTCGATGCCTTGCCAAAGTAGATTTTTGATACTAAATTACCAGGCAGAATATGCTTGCCAAGTTCCTTCAAGAACTTGAAAAAATGTTCCATTTGCACTTCATTAATCTTTTCACAACAACAGGAAACATAAATAAAACAGAAGCACATGGTTGCTATAATCCATGATTCTAAGTGCACAGTAATCAATTGGTCACGAAAAAATAGGTTTTTCGTAAGTTCTGAAGTGAAATCAAACTTGACTGAAAAAGCATGGTGGAATTCAAACTCATAGTGTGCTGCCAACAGTTCGTTTAGAGAACGTGTTATAAATGCAATGGCAATTTATCCAAGGGTCTAAAAGCGAGTTCCGGGTTGAATGAACTGGTCTATTCTTAATAAAAGCAAAGCTGTCTTTTTTGTTTACCCAGATTCAGAACCTAAGTAAGTAGTGGTGAAGTATTGATGTTATTTTCAGAGATCTGAATGTAAACTTCAGTTTAATTCAAATTTTAAATTTATTATATATATATCGTAACCTAAAACTTTAAAATAAAAATCGATTCGTTCATATTTTGATGGGTGCAAGCAAAAACACTGTGATCTGTTGTGGTACTTGGAAATGGAAAAAGTTCATGTTCATGTTGCTGCTTAATTAAAATGGTTTCACATAATTTCAAAAGATATTGAACTTTGAATGCAGTATTTTTCATGTCATTACTTAAGCTATTTCTACGAATCATTTCTGTAGGGATAGAGCTTCAAATAACACTCATGACCCAATGCCTAAGAATTATACTCATACAATCAAGTTCAGGAGTGCTTGCTACCGACGCGATACCGATGCGATACCTGTTCCGACGCTGTTTTTTGGGGAGAATGTTTCATTCCATTTCAAAATCTCCTTGTTTGGTACAACACAAGGTGAAACGTTTCGGGTCTAAACAAATTTACGAGTGCTAGCCCAGAGTTAGCCGTGCTTGTTTTAAAACAGAGGGTGACAACTGGATTCCTTATATCAAATGCTGCAAATGGCGGAGTCACAACACGTACAGGTGTCTCAGAATAAATGTTACAATATTCTACGGCATTTAAGAGGGCTAAAGGAAGTTCATTTTTTGCCAATGAACATGTGGTGTGGAATTTAATATAACGTGGTTACACATACGACATATGCTCCCTGATTCTTAGACGATTCCTTATGCAACAGTGTTCGAAAGGGACACCAAATCTCTCAATTTGTCAAAATGTGACCAGCCGAACATTAGTGTAAGCAGAGTTGCCAACAATCAGGGGCAAATACATCATGCGCAAAATCATTATATTTATTTCCCTGTATTAATTGTGAAAAAGTGATCTCCTTAGATCTCTCTACATTCCTTAGAAATTTGTAATATTTATTCTGAAAAACTCTCTGTGGCAATTTTCAAATGCACAATTAGTCCAGTCAAATGGTGCTCAAAAATGGCAATTGCGGAAAGTTTTGGTATAGTTTTGATACTTGGATCCTATATGTTTTTGGGGTCGCTGAACACGAATATGAGGTTTGCCAACAAACATTTTACCCGGAAACACTTTTTTCCACAAAAATCCTGTTAAAATCCAACATTTTTCAGTTTTTTCAAATAACTCAGAAACCATCCACTTTTCGTAAATAATTGTCCTATATGAAATAAAAGAAAATTAAATTTCCAACAATTTATGTCTGAAGGGATTTTAGTATTTTTATGAAGAAAATTGTGAAAACGGGATTCATCCCATTTTATCTCAATGTAACAAAAAAGACTACTCATTTTTTGTAAATATTGACCCTATATGAAATGAAAGATGATGCAATTGCCTACATTTTAAGTCTTAGAGGTTCTTTATCTGGTAAATAGTCGCACAGCTGCCGCGCGTCGAGCCCGTCGGCAAAAAATACTTAATAGCAAATGTTCATGATGCACATGTTGGTTATCACCACAAAAGAGCACTGCTACCATATCAAATTCGTAGGTACACAAACATCTTAACTGCTCGACGATAATATTAATAAGATTCTTAAAATTATTTATTTTAGTTAGTCTCCTCTTTCTGGATTTTTATTGATCCTTATTTGAATTATTGAGAGCCCTTTCAAATTGTTATTAACAATAACTGTTAATACACCCTAAGTGACGCAATTATTGTGTCACAAGCATAAAAAACTTAAACGATCCACAAAACTTATGAAGAATAACATCGTCTCATGTTATAACATTTTCGCTCTTGAAAAAGAGAAAGAAAGGAAGAATGATAAACGATGACATGTACTGGGCGCACACGATTCTAGTTCCAACGCCTTTGACGTAACTAACTTCCACCCACAGAAAGGCACTTCTCCAAACTCGCTAGGATTGCGTAAATCTTGTTCCGGCCGAGGTTCAAAGTGAATGAAGATTCATCTGAAATGGCGATCTAAAAATACTCGCGACACCTTCCTCCGCCCAGGAGCCGAGCCAGATTCGAGAGCTTTCCCTCGAACGGCCAAGGCGAGGAAAATCGCCTGTCACTACTCGCCCTGTCCCGCCCCGCCCCGCCCCGCCCCTGCGCGCCGCGCCGCTGTCACCCTCCGCGGCCCGCGCGCCCGCCCACGTGCCTCCCCGATCTGTGGGCGTGGCATTGTGACATCCGAAGGCAGAAGATCTGCGTTTGTGATTCAATCGTCTAATTCTTAAACACTTGGTACGGAGGAATGCTGCACGTGCTATTTCTGGCAAAATGTCTGCTCGAAAGACTTACCTCTTTTATATTGTCATACTTCGTCCGCATCGTGTATACAAAGCCTAGAAATAATTGAACGACTCACGAGTATACCTTTTCCAAAATATTTTCCTGTATCTGAGATCTCCAAATCGAACGAAGAATATAGATGATTTTTTGCTGAATTTTAACACTTATCATTACTTTGAAGACGAGAAAGTATAAACTTAAATGACATTGACAATTCAAATAAACTTAAAAATAAAATCTTACAAAATATTAATTTGAAATTACTCCAAAATTTTTCGTCCACAATTTCTTACCCTAAACCCAAAACCATAACAATTCCAACCGCATTGAAATGTTCAATTTTTTGTTCTTCAAAAAATCTACGAAATTCAAAAACCCTTAAAGGATTGCCTGCTGATCTAAATCATGTTACAGAACTGGGCCATTATGGAATATACTTTAGACCATGGTGGCTCTTGGAAATCATGTCTATCAGAATGAACTCTACATCGGTTCAATAAGAGTCCGGAACTTGGGAGAAGGACAAACGAAGAGAGGGCGACTCAGGATCGCGGATCGCAGAAACACGTAGAATGTGCGTGGAACGTGGCTATTTCTGGGCCTGGCGGCACCGCGCGCCGCATATTGAGGCGGAAACGAGCGCCAGCGGCGACAGCGTTGCACTTGAAGTGGGGGCTCCGCGGGGGCAGGGGCATAGGCATGCTGCGACTGTAACGCACAATGCGACCGTCGTGTAGAAAAGGCTAATCGTTTTAGACGAGGTACGAAACTATTCGACAACTAGTGGTGCTAAAACAGCAAGTACTTTCTCGTGCGTATTTTCACGCACATTTACGCGAAACGTACTCAAACTGCACATCATCTTATTTCAAAATCTGTCTTTAAGAAACAGATTTCATTAGGAGAAAAAATCACTATCTTCTTATGTTGTAGTTTTAGGAACACTCTGAAAAAAATTTTGAACTGAATTTTCGAAAAATCATAGTGTTCAAAGAAAATGACACCTGCACCACTCTCTTAAAGTCATTCACACTATCTACCTACAAAATGTATTCAAAATCGATCGAGCCATTTTTTGAAAATTTTGAAAATGTTCGAGGGGCTTCGTGTAAAGTAACCTACAAAATTAAAATATCGATTTCAAATTCAAGAGGTCGCGACATCAGCTAGGTCGATTGGGATACATCGATTTTGCAGAAATACAGCTACAGGGTTTAGCCGATAGCGTTGTTTTGCCATCATTCGTTTTTGCCTTCACAGACGTTTTGCCA